ATAGAAGGTATTTTCACTTGCCACACCAAAAGAAAGAAAATTTAAAGGTCTTGATTATAGAAGCTCTCCTAACTATTGAGATTTATCATTTTTAGTTATTATTTATTCAGTGTTCTGCCTGCATGTATGCCTCCAGGCCAGAAGAGGACACCCGATCTCATGGTAGATGGTTGTGAGCCACCATGTGGTTGCTGGGAATTGAACTCAGAACCTCTGGTAGACCAGCCGGTGCTCTTAACCTCTGAGCCATCTCTCCAGCCTTCGAGATTTATCATTTCAACTATGTGGTTTTTTTTGTTGTTGTTGTTGTTTGTTTGATTGAAGTGTAGTATATGTGAAGAATTGTGTCTTCCCACAAAAAATAACTATATTCACTTTTAGTATCATGGAATAATACATAGTTTAGTAATGGCAAATATGACCCCTGTCTGAGACTTTACCTGTAGCATTGGTGGTATAGTGGTAAGCATAGCTACCTTCCATGTCTGGGATGTCTTTTCTAAACAATATGTGCATAAAATGAATCTTTCTTGTTGCATGAAGCATGTCTTATTTTAGTCTCAATATCTCATAGTGTGTCATTGTGTGAATATGCTACTCTTTGTTATAATCTTGTGTGTGTGTGTGTGTGTGTGTGTGTGTGTGTGTGTGTGTGTGTGTGTATGCTCAGGTGCATGTGTGTGAATGAGTTCATGTTCACATGTCTGTTTGCATGAAGAGATAACAGTGATAATGCTGGGGGTATCATTTGCCAGCTGCTATATACCTCTTTTGCTGCTGTTTGAGATAGTGTTCTGTTTGCCTGAACTTCACCAAGTAGGAGAGGTTAGGTGACCAGTGAGCTTCAGACTTCTATCTCAGCACCACCCACCTCAGCCTTAAGAATACAAGAATACCATTTTATTTTCTAAATGGGTGCTGGGAATTAAACTCAGGGGCTCACGCTTGCAAGGAAGGCATATCGCCAACTGAGCTACCTCCTTAGCACTGTCCATGATAATGTGGATGGGTATCTATCACTTTCAAATTTTTGCTTTCTCAAATAGACTTGCAAATTTCATAAATAAATACATGAAATTATAATGTCATAGAATATGCATGTCCACTTTATTTTATATTATCAAATGCACTATCGTATACACTATAAGCAGTGGCATGAAAGCCTCACTTGAATTCACAGATTAGTACCTCTAATTAGACATTGTTGTTACTAATTGTCAATATTATCTTTAGCTATCCTAATGAGAATACGGTTCTTGGTTATCCAAACTCTATTTCCATTGATTTTGATTGTTGTCTTACATTCTGATCATTTACATACACAACAGACATATCTCAGAAAAGCTTCAAACTCACATTCACAGAAAATACTAGATCCATTTATTTGTTTCACAAAATTTTTGTCTGCCAAGGCTTCAGAACATTCTATTGTGAACTTACTGGTGGAAATGCAAAACCTGCTTCTCGGTGGCTTTAAAAATCTGTGATTGTATGTATAGTAAAATATTTACTTATCTACCCTTTACTGATATCTAAAGAATGGTGTTTCTAGTATATTTTCAATTATGTAGGAACACAATACAACAAATCATAATATAAAATTTAATGATTATTCTGTGAAAGCATTCATGGAATAGTTATTGGGTAGCTATATAAAAAATATACAGTTGGGCGGCGGTGGTGCACACCTTTAACCCCAGCACTCAGTAGGCAGAGGCAGGCGGATCTCTGTGAATTCGAGGCCAGCCTAGTCTACAGAGCGAGATCCAGGAAAGGCACTAAAACTGCACAGAGAAACCCTGCCTCGAAAAAATTAATAATATACATACATGCATTTCATTGTTAAAGCACACATGAAGTACAATTATTATTGCTATGTAATGGCTGTGGAAAATAAAGCAGAGAGCTCTGATACCATGCCCGTCTTGTCGTAGCTCACATATAGCAGGAGGTGGAGTCTTTTGTCTCAGACAACATGGCTTCAGAATTGTGATTATGGCCACCACAACTGAGTACCTCATAGCTTTTCTGTGCTGAAACAGAGAAGCATTAACTTCTACTGATATTTGATAGTCAGCAAATCAACTTTATTCCATATCACTTTTACATGAATTTGTTTGAAGTCCCATGACTTATAAATTAAATCTGAGTTTCACTACTCCCAAGGGTTCTAAGTGGCAACCATGGCTGTTTTTGCCAAGGACAGCATTCTTGCCCAAAGAGAGGAAAGTAATTCTTTTAATCTGGCTCTGATATGTCTCTCAGCTTATCCATAAACTGGCTAGGACAGCAAAACATTCTATTCACCTATTTTTATTTCCATTGGGAAGGTTGCTCACTTCCCAATTTGACTCAGTACCTACTCATTGCAGATCTGTTCCTAGTCACCTGTGCCTCATGATACCAAACATGTTTGTTTCAGATTCTTTGCTGGGAAAGCATTTTATACTTTATATATGATTAGTATTATATTTGGCTTAATCTTTATTTTAACTAGATTGCCAGCAAATTTTCTTCCACAAAAGTTACCAACATTTATGGCATGGAAGTCAAGTGATAAAAGCATTAGCTACAGGAGCACTACATGATCCTAAGGAATTAAAACATAATGTTTCACAAAGCAATAAAATTAGTATTTTTGCTATGATATCAACTCTGGAACAAAGAAAATATTATTCTTGAACTATCAAACACAGATAATTAAAATGAGGATGTTTCTATAATAAATATGCTCTTGTGAGAATGTATGAAAAAGTTCCGCAAAATGGACTTGTCAGTGCTAAGTAACAATTTTCTGTGTTCCTAGGACTATTTGCAAAATCTTCAAATTCAGATTTAGTTTTACATTAAAGACTAGGTTCAGCAAACAATCAGTAATTACTCAGAGTTTAATGCTTAAGTATTAACACTATTGCATATAATTTTGATGCTTATTTTATTTTATTTGAGAATTTCATACATGAGCACTGTGTGTACATCATTCCCACTCCATTTCACATACTTCAGACATAAGGCTTGGAGAAATAGAGCTAAATCTAATTGTATCTGACATGGATGCCTCCTTCTGGAGGACTAGATGTCATATCCAAAGGTGCTGTAAGGGCTGCCAAATGTAGAAAACAATCAGTAGTCCTATCCAGCTGTGAAGCCTTTGGACCAAACAATGGCCAGAATGGCAATATATGCTCAAGAGTGCAATAGTAGCATTTATATCTTGGAGATAACCAAGAGTCATTTAATCGGATCTACAAATATGTAAACTATATATGCCCACTCATGGTGAAGAATATGCCAGCATAGAGTTAAGAAAAGATATGAAACCTTATAAAAGAAGAGCATTCCCAAGGAGAAGCTTTTCCTCTAGTTGTATTCTTTTCTGAAGGGTGATTTTAGAGTCACCACACAATATAGCATCAGGAAGCTTGTGTACCAGGCACTGTACCAGCTAGGACACCTTTCCAACTAACTTCCATGATCTTTAAAAGCCTCAGTAAGACATATTATCATTCTCATGTTCAGTCTAGGATGCTAAAGATGCACTAAAGGGCAGGATAAATTGCTCTCACTGTCTTCTCAGCCTATTTTAATAGACACAGCCTTCTCAGAACATTTTGAAAACCAGTTCATAATTACAAATTTTCCATAAGCTTCTTCATAAGTATTTCTTTTTTCTTTCACTCTAGTCATAGAGAGTGAGCATCAGAAACAGTTTCCAAAACTATGACTGTAAATGTGGCCACTGTCATGTGCTTTGTGGTAGAAACTCAAGTCACTTGATGCTTCCCTAGAACCATGAACAGAAAAATCACATTTCTATTATTCATAAATTTCTCCAGAAAATTTAATGATTTTTTAAATCAATGCAGGAAACTTTACTAGGGTTGAAGTAGGAATCATTGACCAGTGAAAAAGAGCAACAGAAGATGGTTTTAAAGTCATCGATATGTTGCTGCTGGTCAGACTTAGTAAAATTTTGCATTAGTAAGCAAAACATGCATTAAGTGGCAACTTACATAAGCTTACTTAAGGCTTGGATTTTATTTCATCTTACTCCTGCAGTAGAAAATTCTTTTCAGTGGCCACTCTATTAACAGGTAAATAAGATTAAGTGTGAATGTGTACCACACAGATGCCATTTAGAAAGAATCTATTTGGATATATACTGTGCTTATAACTGGAGACAGTGTTGTAACTGATTATCATGTACAACACACTCTGCCTCTTAACTCTCAAGTTGTCAATCTTTACTTTTAATTGTAAATATTTAAACAGCTGGTGACATGGTGATATAGTCTTACAAGTGCTTAGCAACAAGGCCATAATTAGAATCAATATATCTTGATTTCAAGTGGTGATGATGACTCACAGAATTCACATAGCCCACAGAGAGATTTTGCCATGTACTCTGGAGATGAATGCACACAACCTGATCTTGGAGTCTATAGCATATGCTTGATGTGGATCAAGATTAGAGTCTAGCACCTCTCCTCATTCTAGCATCTTATGACCCTGGTCAGAAAGTGCAGCTTCCTTAATCCTAGCTTCCTGAACTGAATATGAATGATAGGATAAAAGGGTAGATTATTGAATCTACTTTTAAAAAGCAACTACTTGTTTTAAATGTTTCAAATTGATGTAGATCTTTGTATATTGATACAAATTTGAGATTGTTTTTCTTAGAACATAGTGTACATACATTTCTACTCATATTCAAGGTATTGTACCCATACAGCTCATTTAACATAATGCAAATTTCTAGTCCTTGAAAGTTATTATTACAAACTAATTAGGATATAAAGAAATGCAGATTAGTAATTAGTCATTTTTACAATCAAACTTGTTATCATATTAAGTATGTTTCCAAGGTCAAACAGAGATACATTTTAGATAGGTAGGCTGTCTTCAAACACTTCAGAGGTCTACAGAATATGGCATTTAAGATGTTTTAATAACATAGGTTCTTTTTTTATGACAATGAGACATGTCTGCTCCTGGCAGCACCAATCTACTTCAGAGAAGATGATGGGCATTGAAGAAACTCCATATGGAGTTTACTTTCTTTGTGGCAAAAGTTAGCCACTGGGCAAGAAAATTCTCTTGCCTTGACTGCTGACAGTATCCTGTAAAAAGGGGACAAGCAGGACACAAAAGAAAGGACAGCTGAACTCTGCCAAGACAAGGTGAGACAGCCCTTCAGAATATTCTGCTTTGCACAAAAATCTGCCAGATATGCTAGGCCAGTAGGCTGAAGATAGATGCCCCAATGCTGCAAAGGAACCTTGGGTCATTGCCCAGAAAGCCAGCTGTTTTTGTCCTTTCTCACATTTTTTTTTTGGAAGTCACTTGCTTGCATTTCCTTCTTACTCAGTTAATATTATTTCCTTCTAGGGTCCTTGAGGGAGTTGAAGACTAGATAGTTATACAGTTAGAGTTTTTCTTGTTTATCAGACTCAGAAAAGAAACTCACTAAAGAGATGTAAAGTGTATAAGGTTGAGAAACATTTAAAGATAGTTTTAGATGGTAATGCAAGTTAGGCTAGAAAGTGAATTAGGTACAAGACTTTGGACTCACCAAGAGATAGCATAGATAATGAAGTATTTTCTCTGAATCTATCAAATGCAAATGTACTGGACATTGTTGATGTGTTTATTGCCTGCATATATTGTGTATAGTTATTTTATTTAATGTATGTAGTTTTTCTTATATTAGTTACAACCTTCTTTTTTATTTTAGACAGAAAAGGGGAAATATGGCGATATTTTGTTTATGATCTAACAAATAAAGCTTGCCTGAAGATCAGAATGCCGAGTTATGCCACTATTTAGCCATAGAGGCCAGGCAGTGATGGCACACACCTTTAATCCCAGGACTCAGGAGGCAGAGGCAGACAAACATCTGTGAGTTCAAGGTCACCCTGGGCTGTACAAGACTGATCCAGTCTAAAAGAGAAATAGAGCCAGGCCGTGGTGGCATGCACCTTTGATCATAGAATTTAGGATCTTAAGCCTTTAATCCCAGCACTAGGGAGATGGAGAAAGGAAGTGATATGGCTAGGTGGAGAGAAGACTATAAGGTGGGAGGAGACAGGAGCTCACTCCTTTTCAGGCTGAGGATTCGGTAGAGGTAAGAAGTCTTCCTACTGGCTGGCTCTTTTACAGATCTTTCAGCATTTACCCTGATATCTGACTCCAGGTTTTTATTATTAAGACCAATTAGGATGTGTGCTACATGTGAAAGTGATGCTATGGATCTCAGAGGCCATTAAAGATCATAAAAGTTAGTTGGAAAGATGTTTCAGTTGGTTCAGTGCTTGGTACACAAGTATGATGTCTTTAGTTCAGATCCTCAGTGACAATGAAAAACTCTGGGCACAGTAACAAATCTCTGTATTATCAATACTAAAGAGGGTGAGGACACAAGGTTCCCTCAGGTTCATCAGCTAACAAATTCATGTAGAATTGGGGAGCTCCAGGTTTAGTTACTTTGTCTCAAAAATTAAGGAACAGTGATTGCTGAAGACACCGAATTTTGACTTCTGGCTATATATATATATATATGCATGTATATATATGTATATATATATGTATCCCACACACAAACAAACATGCTCACCCACCCCTGCCTCCCCCCACATGCATGTATAGGAGCACACAGACAGAGTAGAGATGTTTGTAAAAAATGACTGTAGTATTTGGGTTTAAGAAACTTTGAAAAAGTGTTATTTAATCCCTCTTCTCTCTCAACTGGACGTCTGGAGCTTGGCCTGGTGCTTGACTGTGGATCTCTGCATCTGCTTCCATCAGTTACTGGATGAAGGCTCTATGATGACAGGATATACACCAATCTGATCATCAGAGTAGGCCAGTTCAGGAACCCTCTCCTCCATTGCTAGGCATCTAAGCTGGGGTTGTCTTTGTGGATTCCTGGGAATTTCCCTAGCTCCAGATTTCTCCCTTACCTTATAATGTCTCCCTCTATCAAGATATCTCTTTCATTGCTCTCCCACTCCATCCCTCCCCCAGCTCCACCATCCCATTCCCTCATGTTCTCATCCCCCATCTCCTACCCTCTATCGTAGCCCCCATCCCCAGTTTACTCATGGAGATCTCCTCTGTTTCCCCTTCCCAAGGTGATCCCTGTATCCCTCTTAGGGTCCCCCTTGTTTCCTAGCTTCTCTGGAGCTGTGGGCCATAGTCTGATTATCCTTTACATATAGTATCCACTTCTCATGATGGGAGATTCTACAGAGACAAGTTAACCAAGCTCATAGGAACTCAGGAACTTTAGACTGACAGCTGTGGAACCTGCATGCATGCGACAGTATTAGGCCCTCTGCATGTGGGAGACAGTTGTGTAGCTTGGTCTGTTTGAGGGGCCCCTGGCAGTGGGATCAGGATCTATCCCTGGTGCATGAGCTGACTTTCTGGATCCCATTACCTGTGGCCAGACACCTTGCTCACCCTTGATGTACGGGGGAGGGGCTTGGTCCTGTCTCAACTGAATTTACCAGGCTTTGCTGTTCCCCCATGGGAGGTCTTACCCTTCTGGAGGAGGGGATGGGGGTAGGCCTGGGGTTGGGGAAAGCAGGAGGAAGGATGAGAGGGGGACCTGTGGTTGGTGCATAAAATGAATAAAAAATTTTTTAAACAAAAATAAATAAATAAATAAGAAGCATTATTATTAAATGAATTAGATAAGGAGAGAGGCTAAGATAATTTCAGTTAGAATGAACTAAATAAAATTTAAACTATAAAGTATAATATAGAATTTATGGAGTCTTTGTTTTTATGTCTTAGAATCAGAATTTTAGGATCACACAGCAGTAAATCTAGCCCCATCATGCATCCCTTTCAGGTTTCCACCATTCCTTTAATAAATGAGAACCTTTACTGCCATGTCCCTACTTTATCTTTCTTTATATTTAGTTATAGCATGAAGAATCTCAAAATGCCTCTGTATTATGAAATTCTTTATCTTTCATCATATTTTGTTATAAAATAAGAAATCTCAAAATGTCTTATGTGTTATGAATTCTATCAGCAAAGTCATTTATTTGCACTTTGTAGTTTGATAAATCTTTGCCATGAATACTTGTAGAATTCAGATTTATCAAACTACAAAGTGCAAATAAATGATTTTTTGTACTATGACATGCATAGATTCACTCTAACTCCTATCCAAATATTACTACAACATCACCTCTGCTGCCATACCTACAGAACCATGTTTTCATACAGGTGTTCTACGGTAGGATATCCTTGACCTATGTATGACTTTCGATTCAGTAGCTTCAAGGAATCTCCAAAGAATTACAGACATGAAAATAATGGTTTTTAAAGTGTATCTTCTTAGACAACTGAGGACTTCCTTCTCATTGAGCTCCCTCCAAAGTTGCCTCCAAAAAACATAAACATGGCCAATATGACTGAGTTTCCCTAACCAATCATGTGCCCCAGCATACTCAGAGTCACTCCTCTATGGAGACACTCTTGATTTGTACATAGTCTCTATTATCTATGCTTAATTTATTGTTTCTGGCATACAGCTGCAGTGCATGGCTTATACACACATTCTCATTCCTACAGCCTACCAGCACAATGAGGGCAAGCACCCTATGAATCATTTTCCAACTCAGATCTAGCACAATGCTCAATATATGTTTGCAGGATAAAAACATATAAAAGAGGGATTTGAAGATATTCTATTGTGAGGAAAATACTGAAGTTCTTATTTTATGACACACCCAAAATCACATGGAGAAAGAGAATAGTATTACAAGATCCTTTAATCATCATTTCCTACTAAAACATAAAGTACAAACATCTGAAATTTCTCATCTGTATTGAGCACTCAGCAAAGGCCTATATGACCCTTACATAAGAGTTCATTCAAGGTGATAGAATGCTGCTGAGGTAATAGATAATCTTATGATGTGAAGACAACAGCATTTACATTTTTATGTTATTTTAATGTGGAGAAATATATTCATATCTTATGGATTCATAGGGTTAAATTACTGGCTCACAGAATCTTGGAGCTCAATGTATTTTGAGATTACCTATTCAATACAAAGCTTTATATGTATTAACCTAAATGTGTGATGGCAGATGCTTAAAAGAGAGACCAGTTTCTTTAGTTTGACTATCAAATTATCCACATGTCATGATTAACATTCTGCTTGCTCATTACATAGGATCACTTAGCATCCTTTTAGCCATGAGTTTGACAAATTAGGAGTTACTGGGAGACTTAACATTTCTCCAGAAACGTCATTTTTTATTAGTGCTCAAGATACAACATGTATACAAATTCACTAATTGACCTATTTTTATCAAACTTTAATCAAGCTTTCTCGTCAGCAGCTTCTTCTTAATCAGTCTCTTAGTTCGTTCCATGGCAGAAAGTACACCATTGGTTCCTGGCATCCTCATTATTAGGGATTTAATTTAGGGCTTTATTTAAAATGTTACATTTTTGATGAAAAGAGGAAAATCCTTACAATTGAATAAAAGTTTATAAGTCATGTTTTCCATTTCATGACTTTTAGAAACATGCACAAATCAAAATCTGGAAGATAATCAATACTCCCAAGCAGGCAGGATGCAGCTTTATGCCATTCTACAAATCCCTACGCACTGTAGAAACATGCATCAGTTCTTCAGTACATAGAAATCTCGAGTGTTTTTAGAGCCACAGAGTCTTTACATCAAGCTTTTAGTTTGAATACTGAAACCAGTTAATTTTTCAAAATCTTTTAGCCCTGTTCCCCTAGCCATTTCCACAAAACATGAGTGCAACAGCTTGTTTTCTCTCACACCATCCTCTGTATCATTCTCTTCTCTCTTTACCTCCCTTCACAGTTTACCTCGGATATTGATTCTATCTCTTTTAAACAGGATCAGATCTTCATTATACTCAGTCCTCTTCTTTGAACTTTATTTCCCTTTAACTAAAATTTTGGTTTCCACTGGAGGAAAAAAGTGGAGTCAGCCAAGAAAAGGGCACAAAACCTTCTGAACTCCAATCATGCAGGCTTGTAGGAAACATCACTGTTTTATATATATATATATATATATATATATATATAATTATTATTGTTTTGTGCTGTAGTTCTTTGTGTGTATGTGGGTGTGCGAATGTGTGAAGGTACCATGTAGGTCAGAGGCATTGGATACCTAT